AAAAAACCTCAATGGATTCCCTTTAAGAATTGTACTGGCCCGAATGTCCGTTTTAAAGTTTTTCCGTTCAAACTGTATTTAGTTAGACGCCTTTCCATTCCCCCTCCACCAAGACTTACTGTTCGTGCATAACCATTGTTCCACGGCGACAAATGGTCACTTAAAATTGCTGTACAGGTATCATCCAACCTTAAGTTTTTACATATTTTAGTTATTGTCGTTATTGTGTCTTTTAATGACTATATTCTTGTTTGTTTTATTTCGTTGTTTTTTTTTTGTGATGGTAACTGATAATTATCGTAGCCCATTTCAAAAGAGAAAAGAGGAACAATGTTATATATATATATTAATAAACATTTTGTCTATCCGACAGACAACAGATGCATTTCTTTCTCTAACTTTGCAATAAAATAGAAAATGAAGATGTCAACCAAGTTACCAAGTTACTTATTTCATTTTTGATGGTAATGCATTCAACTTCCGTTTTAAGTCATACATCTGGTGATCAGGCGCTAGCTAGTATAAAACGTTTGGAAAAATTACACAAAGCCATAGAAGAAGAAACAAAAATTCTGAAAATTCGGGCTTACTCAGTTTTTGGAGAAAGCAAGGGTAAGTGTAAATTAATGTTTGTTATTATTTTGTGCATGTGCATGTATTCATTTTCTTATTCTTGTGATAAAAATGCATGCATAAATCATATTACAATAATAACAAAATTTTCTTAGAGAGAAAAGATACATGTGTATATTGTAAGAATAAACTGAAGTGATTTAAACGCCTTCATAACGAAATCACCTGATTCATTTTTTTTTTCAAATCACTTTCAAGCACTCGCTAAGAATTATGCTGAAAAGACCTGTCAGTGAAAAGCGCATTCCACTTTTCTTAGTGCTGCATAGTTTAAAAGCAACATAGAAATGGGGACATAATTCAAAAGGGTCAAATGAAGGGGTAAATAAATCACAAACTCTCTGACTTTGTTATGTTGCGTTAAAAAATGTTGCAATAAAATTATTACAAAGAATTTTTTTTTCGTAAGTTTTGGTTTAATAAAATACATAATGAAACTGTTACAGAATCCGAGGACGAGCCTGACGAATCTCTACACCACGGAGGAAATTACGTGCGTTGGGGAAGAACAACGTGTCCTAGCACTTCATGGACGATATATAAAGGTAACATAAGATTTATAACTTATTATAGTTAGGACGAGAAACCTTTGTCTTATTCAAAATACATGTAAAAGAATTGTATACTGATAGTACCATACATACAAGTCTTATATTATCAATAAAAATAGTAATATTCGAAATCTAGGCTTTGGAGATAAGCCCAAAATGTTTCATGATTATTTCAAGTTTACGAAAGTTCTGAACACGTTTAACTTTTAATAGGGTCATTTTGTTTTGGTTAAATAATTAACATTGCTGTTTCAAAATAAACATTAATTGACGTATGAAATAACAACAATTTTTATTTTCTTGTTAATATGGCACGCTGTACCATATTTTGAGAAAGACCCATTTCATACGAATTCAGACCAATATTGACTATTATAGGATACGCTGGTGGATCTTTCTATAAACATACTGGTGCCGCGGCTAATTATTTGTGTCTACCTAGAGATCCTCAATGGAGCGAGAAGGCGATGGGAGAGAAAAAAAAGCAGGACAGTGTCGCCTTTGTTTACGGGTCAGAATATATACTAGCTCAGGAAAATGAAGGTTTTTTTGGATCTGAAGTCAATTCAGGCGGAGATGATGTGCCTTGTACAGTTTGCGGAGTAGAACGAACCAACATTTTGATGATTCCGGCAAGGACTTCATGTTATGATGGCTGGAAAAGGGAATACACAGGTTATCTTGTAGCTGGGCATCGTGATCATGCTGCGGCATCTGAATACATTTGCCTTGATGAAAATCCGGAAGCTACAGGAGCTCCCCGTAATGAGAACGGAAAGCTATTCTACTTGACGGTAGGAAAATGTGGTCCTTTACCATGTCCACCGTATGATGATGGAAGACTATTATCATGCGTGGTTTGCACGAAGTAGATGGTTTATATTCTACACTACCATCGGTTGGGTAATAATGTAATATTAACAATGCTATGATTGACTAATACTATAATTATTTTGTAAAGCTAATACTGTTGCATATAGACTATAAGGTTATTGTTTGAAACTTGAAGAAGTAGGAGAAGAAGGAGGAGAAGAAGAAAATGAAGAAGAAGAAGAAACCGAAATACCTGTATGGATGGAAAATGTTTGTATATTTTCTCATCAGCAAACAGCGCATTCATAAAATCATCGCTGAACGGATAATACCTCAAAATCGCAGTATAATTTTTTGTTCAGGAAAATTTATTCTGTTTATGCAAAATATGTACGCGTGTTATAAATAACATTTAATAACATTTTATGTATGTTTAATCAAATGATTTTTTCTAATAAACTTCTTTATTAAGAAGTTTTATTTCAAGATCGGTAAATGTGATTACATTAAGCCGTGTGCTTCAGCTAGGGGCTCATTGGAACACCTGTAAATCTGTTTATGATGTATTTTAGCGGTGGCATAATGGTTAACGTGCCTCTCTGCTGTGCATTATTTCAGACACGAGCGGGCACCAGAGTAGAACCACCGACGTTCCGTAAGCTAGCTGGATAATTCCTCACATGACTGAATCCAAAGTCCTTGACGGGACTACAGCGGTGAGGGACAAATGGTTTGAAGATAACTCGGTCATGGCCGCCCCATATCTCATGAAAATGGCTGGACTGTCGACTGACTTGAACCTTCTAAACTGTCGTGATGAATGATCTTTGATAAATTAACAAGATTTCTTCTTTAAATTCCAGTATTTGAATCAATAATTTCTGCCAATTAATACAGAAAAAGGTTTACTCATGACAGCTAGGCTTAGAACCAACATGCTCCCTGTTGTCACTACGAGACCCCAGAAAAAGTAACCAATGAACGAGCATCTAAATATATATATATATCTATCGCTTCCCATACTCTTCTGTCACAAGTAAACCGCAGAAAAAAATGAGCCAATCAATGGGCACACTCTGAAGTGCGGGTACTAATGCCTGCACTCCAGTAAACGCACTGTGCATGCATGTTATACAATTTAAGTGTGACACAGTTTCAACAGAAAGGTCCCAAACTATGATACAAATTTTACGTTGTTGATTCATAATTAATTTTAACTTTAATTCATCAATATAACAAGATTTCATGCCACGAGGACCATGTCCACAGTCAGGAAGAAGTTTAGCTTGCCATGCATGGTTTATTTATATAATGTTAATAATAAAGTGTTTTCATAATGGCCTTGTTATTGGGCTGAAGACTGTCATATTAGCCTGAACTAAAAAAATTAGTTACTTATTAACAAACAAAAACTAGTGTAAAATTCCGTGAGGTATTGCAAATGAAATTCTCGTTTTAAGAAGAGCTGTCACTGGAGACAGCAAAGCTCGACTAATTAAATACTGGACACAGTAAGGAAGTCAAAACTATCATGAAAGAAAAATCAATTATGATATAAATATATTTCTTCTTATGACAAGAAATCATAGTTGTTAACATAAATTTCAAGTTCAAGGAGGAATAATTTTGAAAATAGTCACTCTAAAGTTAAGGACCTTGTCACACAACATGTGTGTAATGATAAGAAATATATATTTGAAGTTTGAAATGATACCTTAAAAAGTAAAGAAGTTATAATATTTTTTAAAGAAAATCTAAGTTCAAAGAGAGATAAATCTGAAAATATTGCTTCAAAAGTTATGACCCTTGTCACACAAGATCTGGTTGGTAATAAGGAATATGTATTTGAGGAAGATACCTTTAAAACTAGAGAAATTATAGTAAAAAATAACATTTTTCAAGTAAAAAAATCTACGTTAATGGGGGGATAATTCTTGCAATATTGGCGCTAGAGTCATGAACCTTGTCACGTAAGATGTGGTTAATGTTAAGGAACATAATTATATTTGAAATATTATGTTGATCCCTTAAGAAATATAAAGTAACAGTAAAAATAATATTTTTTATGGGAAATTCTAAGTTCAAGGGGAGATAAATCTGAAATTATTGGTGCTAGAGTTAATAACCTTGTCACATAAGATGTGGTTGATGATGAGGAACATACAAATATTTGAAGTTTGAAGTTGATACCTTCAGAAATAAAGAAGTAACAGTAAAAAGTAGTATTTTTTAAGAAAAAATCTAAGTTCAAGGGGAGATAAATCTGAAAATATTGGTGCTAGAGTTATGAACCTGGTCACATGTGGTTGATGACGCGGACCCCGGGGCGAGTAGGACAGCTCTCCATGTACTTCGTATAGTCGAGTTAAAAAAACAACACAACAACACAAATGGTATCAATCACTTTATATATAATTAAAATTCATCTTTTTAACATATTCCATTTTCTTATTTCAGCAAATAAAAAACACTTTATATTAGTAACTCCTTTTCCTAAATACGGACAGAAACTCTAAATTAGTAGTAACAAGTATCTTAATATTACCTTCAAGTTTTCATACTTTCTTTATTCATAAATATTATGAATTTATCAGAGAGTAAGACATTGAAAAAAAACATCTATATATATTCAAAAGAGAAATTATCAGAAACTAGAACTTACGATGAATCAGACGATAAACAATAAAGTTTTTTTTGTTCTAGATTATTTTTAGTATCTAAATTACTATACATGTATATATGGACAGAATAATTTACAAAAAGAAAATACAATATTAAAATCTAAAGTTGCATATACAGTAAATACAAAAGAAATAATTTAAAGACTATCTACATCACAGACAAGTATGTACTGACCCTAACAAAAGAAATATCGACAGCAACTTTCCTTAATGTAATTGGTTTGTTTTACAATAAACTTGGTTAGCAAACTAGCCAAGGGAGATAATACTTAAAATGTTCTATCTAATTCTCTACATAAACAATCTGTCAAAATTGCATGTTCATGTACTGTTATATCAATATATGAATGCATAAATAATATAGAAGTTCCCAAAATTTGTCATTTGCTTTAATCATGCTATGTTATTTTTTTCACTAAACCACCTTGACTACCACATATTTTGCAAAATGACCCAGTATTTTCTTGTAAATCAGTAATAAAATATTCAAATAACATACCAAATCCTTATATAATTGGCAAAACAACATCTGTTTTCAGTAAATATTTAAAGCACTAAAAATAACTCACACCTTTAAATTTTGAAGGTAATTTTTTGTTGTCAAACCTTCCTTTTTTTCTAAGTCTCACAAATTTTCTTTCAACCATTAATTTCAATATTTGCACAAATAAAAATTTAAATGTTGCTTACTTTTCATATCATTTTAATTCCCAAATAAAGCATTCATGCCAACTTTTATTGTCTTAAAAAATTCATTAATTTAGATAAAGGTAACTTTTTTTTTTCCCTTTCAATATGCACAACACATAATATTTCTACACATTTCTATGTTAAAGATTACAAAACACACTAGATAGAAGAGATAGAATAATACTACAAAAGTAAATTGTTTAATTGAAGTTTGCTGTTATTTGCTGACTCTCAAGTGACATTAGCATGTTACAGGTCACATAGAAATTGACCAAATGTCAAAGAAATGTCACAATTGTGTTTAAGACAAACATTTCAAACAAAACAGACCATAAACCAAAGATCAAGCCAGTTTCATCACTTGTTAAAACTAAACAGCTGTAATAAGCAACTAAAATAAAACTAGCTGTCATTGCTATCAGTCACCGAATTCTAAATGTGATAATTTATGTAAATAAAAGGACAGAAACAAGAGCTGATCGTAAGACAGCCTGCTCAACCATTCTCAGAGCTCAACAGTGGGAACAAGAGGGCCATGATGGCCCTGAGGTCGCTCACCTGTATATAGGCCACCCCCCCCCCCCAACCCCCTAATGTTGCAGGGCCAATTTTAACCAAAGGGCTTCTATTTGCACAAACTTGGTAGACACCCAAAACAGATGTTTCATGCTTAACATCAAAGCTCTAGCTCATTGGGCTTTTTAAAAGAAGACTTTTTTAAAGTTTTTACTATACACATATAGTTAAAAACAATGACACCCCTGGGGCCGGGCCAGTTTTGACCCCAGGGCTTTTATTTGAACATACTTTGTAGACACTCACTAGAAAATGCTCCGTGCTTAATATCTAAACTCTAGCTATTTGGGTTTTTTCAAAGAAGCTATACACATATAAAAAAATCAATGACCCCCCCCCCCCCCCCGGGCGGGGCCAATATAGACCCCAGGTCTTTTATTTGAACAAACTTTGTAGACACTCACTAAAAGATGTTTCATGCTAAATATCTTAACTCTAGCTATTTGGGTTTTTTCAAAGATTTTTAAGTTTTTGCTATACACATATTAGGAAAACCAATGACCCCCGGGGCGGTGCCAATTTTGACCCCAGGGCTTTTATTTGAACAAACTTGGTAGACACCTATTAGAACATGTTTGATGCTCAATATCTTAGCCATAGCTCTTTGAGTTCTTTAAAAGAAGATTTTTTAAGTTTTTACTATATGCATATAGGGAAAATCAATGACCCCCCCGGGGCGGGGCCAATTTTGGCCCCAGGGCTTTTATTTGAACAAACTTGGTAGACACCCATTAGACCATGTTTCATGCTAAATATCTTAGCTCTAGCTCTTTCGGTTCTTTAAAAGAAGATTTTTTAAGTTTTTACTATATGCAGGGTTCCCTCTGGGTCAAAATTAGTTTGCGCCACCAAATTCGCCAATCAGAAAAAGTTGGAGCCAATGGCTCCAAATTTGGAGCCAATAATTCTGCAAGGGAGACATGCCTATCTTTACTAAGATATGCTAGTAGTTATATATCATTATGATTACAGACACATATTTATAATATTTCATTTTATTTACAGCTGCACATGTTTATTATCTAAAATATAGACATATTATTATGTGGTTTTCAAATTCCATTTAAATAAATACACATGACAGCATAAATGTAAAAAAAAACTTCATGTTAAGTTAGTCATGGGAGGTCATGTTTTCCACCGTTTTGCCAGTATAGCAGTTCTTCTCACAGGCTGGACTGAGCCAAGATCTTTCCCAGCTTCTACCCAACAATCTGGTGATCTACAGATACAAAATAAATAAAAACAACATTACTGTAAATTGATGTCATCTAAAAATCATTGAGAACAAAAAATGAAATAAATACTAAGTACATGTTGTATTTTTAACAATGAAAAATATTGTTTATTTTAATAGGATTTACATTTGAATTGACACTTCAGCACTTTACTTACATTCACAGGGCTCGAGCTACTGGGCGATTCGGGCGAAATAGTCGCCGAATTCCGCCTGACTTCGCCGACATCCTACATGAAAGCGAAGATGAAGTCGCCCGATTTTATTGATCCATTATTGAAAATAACCAACAATAACTGTGAATAACATGTTGTGTGTTTGCTTTGTTTACCCTCGCCGCCGGAAAAAGGGACTGTCATGCATCTCAATCAACGCGAAACGTCATTAATCCGTTTGTTTACCAACATGTCATAAAAGTCTAATTAACAGACGCTCGAGGAACAATTAGACTCCGCCCACGGCGAGATTACCGATACGTGCGAGAAACCAATCGTAATTCACGTTTCAATCGAGGCGACATTATTAAACCAATCATTTAATCGCTAACATACCAGTAACAATTATTTATGATGGACGGATCAAACGTCAATTAAATTTTCACTATCGAATGATTGTCAGAATTAAGAGGACCGCTCGAGATATAACTGTAACGGTAATTTTAAATGAAAGTTATGATAACCTTTTTTTGTCGACGAGTTAAATTTGATAAAATTGACGGCGTATTACACTGTATTTATTACAAATGTAGTTAAAGTAAAGACCGTTTCTTTCGTTATCTACTTTCATTTTCTTACAACATAAGTGAATATGAATATAATGTCCGCGCAAGCTTTTTAATAGTAAATCAGAAGGGAATAACTGTTAATCCACCCATGATATGATCCATGATAGGAATCAACTATGGCTTTTTTATCTTCATTTAATGCAATGGTTGCATTTATGATTACATGATACTCATTCTTATTATTACTTGTTTCAAACTACATGTACTTTTAAATTAAAATTGAATATTCTGTTGTAACACAAATCCAATTCATTTAATAAGATAAGTACAGTGAGTCAATGTAATTGCAATAACATACAACAAACATCGATAAATGAATCTCCTCACTTCTCCCTAAAGTCTCCCCACTTCTCCCTAAAGCAGCTGGAGGGAGAAGTGACTTCTCCCTAAATTTTGAACCTAGCTTGAGCCCTGATTCAGATATGAAAATATTAATATTGCAGCAAACAGTGGCTTTAGATCAATCATTAGTGAAATTATTCTTTTAATTGTGATCCGATTTAATATTCAAACTGTTATTATCTTTAATCAGTTGACGAGTCAACTTACCTAAAGTTCAATGTTTATCAACATATCAGACGATCTTTCACTTCTCTGTTCGCCACTAACACCTGTTGACCACACATGTTATTATCAGTGCTCCAAGTCAGAGAATGAAAGACGTAAATTGTTCCAATAAACACATAGACACTTTCATCTTCACATGTTCCCGAAGTGTCACACAATTGATGACATAATTGATTATACGGTACCCGATTAAACAGTTTGATAAACAAACTAAGAGTGCGTGACCTTTCACATTTAGGCCGCTTATGTAATTGACGCGGCAGCTTATGACATTTAAGTGTAGTAGTTGTCGGATGCTTTTATCTTACGTTGGCGCCAGTTAAATTCGCCAATTAAAGATTTTATGCGCCAGAATTAATATTTTGTCGCATTTGGCGCCATTGGCGAGCGACAGCGGGAACCCTGATATGCATATAGGGAAAATCAATGACCACCCCCGGGCGGGGCCAATTTTGACCCCAGGGCTTATATTTGAACAAACTTGGTAGACACTCACTAGAACATGTTTCATGCCAAATATCTAAGCTCTAGCTCTTATGGTTTTTTAAAAGAAGATATTTAAAGTTTTTTCTTTCGGTTGCCATGGCAACAAGGTTTCTGCATGGAATTAAATTCTTTGAACAATTTTTAAAGGTGACCACCAAAGGAACATTCCTGTGAAGTTTGGATGAAATTGGCTAAGTGGTTTATGAGGAGATGTCATTTAAAGTAAAAGTTTACGGACGACGGACGGATGCCCGGACGAAAAGCGATCACAAAAGCTCACCCTGTCACTTTGTGACAGGTGAGCTAATAACTCTGTAAAAAGGTCACTATAGGAATTGTGCCCATCATGTGAGAGAGTCACAGAAAACAAGTGTGTGAAGTTTTAACTCATTCTCTTCAGTAGACTTGGAGATACAAACTTGCACCCAAAAATTTAAGCAAAGTGTGACAACTATGCCAAAGCCGGGGTAAGTACATTAGCTCTCTGATATATTTTTTCAGTGGTTGAAACTAACAAAGCGTTTCCTTATCACATCATTTCATTTATCGGGATTGCTGGACTGCTGTACAAATGTTTCTTTTCTCAGGGCTAATGCTTGTTAATTATTTGATTTAGTTTCAGGACTGGTCTAGAAGTTGTATTTCTTGTACACGTAATGAGCACTCGTGCATAGTTAATGTCTCTGTTGCTGCAAGTAGTTCATGGCTCCTGTGAATTGAAGATAATGTAAAATTATCAAAGAAAAACCTAAAAAAAACACTTAAAATATTTATTATGAAATAAAACATTTCAAAATAATAAAAGAATAATTTTTGTGATGGCATATGGTGTGGTGTAAGTCAGAGCAGTTGCTCAGATCACAAGAAATATGTTATTATATTATACATTGTAAACTGTTGTGTTACTTTATGTAAGTTAATAAAGTGTTGTTCTGGTTCACAACTTGACAAAATATAGTAATGCCAGTAAATAATTCAGCTTCCTTCATTTATGACACAGTTTCTCAAAAATCTCTTACATTCATATTTAATTTTCTATAAAATAATAGCAGTATGGTATTTATAAATATAATTTAATGTAAAAACTTTTCCCTTAAAAGACTTGCAAGAAAAAGTACAAAAACTTCCTTACTTTTTTAACTCTTCCTCCATTCCTTCAACAGCTTGTTCCATGGTAACCATAGCATTACCCATAGCAGAGATAGTGGGAATATCTTGTCTTGTTATAGCACTCACTTCCCCTAGTAACCTCTCACTCTCTAGTAACTGTGCTTCTAACTTGGCTAAAACACACAATAATTACAATCTTGAGTAACTCAAATGAAAACAATCTGTTTCAAAACAAATCATTAACAAGACTACTATCTAATTTAATTTTACCTTGACCAATGTTAATTGGTTGTTTTTTTTTTATTGTTTTCTTAAGAATCATATACGAGGCTTTTTCTATGTAAAATTTGTTTTTCTTTTTCTGAGGTTAGGTTTTCAGAAGCACTTATACAGTAAATATTATACAACAACTTTCCAGCTTTACCTAGGAAGACCTAAGGTGCCCCTCCATGCATTTTTGCAGGCATGAGCGGGCAGCGGAGTAGAACCACCAATGTTTAGCAGGCAAGTTTGATTGCTTCTTCACATGCAGGAATTAAATCATGAAGAGAAGACAGCAAGTGATCTAATTATTTTTAAAATTTAGCTTTGAAAACATTAAATGTTCCTGATTATGCACTGGTGAAAATGATAGAGCATCTTGTTTGTTTTTTTAATTTAAGGCTGATTCACCATGTAATACACAAATGGCTAACAACAAACTTACAAAGCAAGTTTGCTAACTGAATAGGATTCTAAAATGATTAATCAGTCCCTTTTTACAAATTTAGAAGTATCAATTTTAGTTGTTATAAATGCATAAAAAAAATCTGTTTATACTTCTGCATAAATCAAAACTTAAAAGTACAAAAACAAATAAGACAGTCAAGCAAAACAGCTCATTGCTTATCTTAACATATAAAATCTCTTAACAGGGTTTCAATCTAATCCATGCATACTCCAAACATATTCATTTCATGCAGGTATTTTGTAATTTGTTCTTTTTTCAAAATTTAGAATTACACAAAATGTTACCTTGAAATTGTTCCTCATTTTCAGGTAAATGTATATCTTTGGTAGGAATTTGATGTCGTGTTGTATCTAATGCATACGCCAAATTACTGTATTGTTTTTGTAACGATGGTAAATTATTCACCACTGGTCCAAGACACTGCCTCTATTTGACAACAACAACAACAGGAAGTTATTAACACTGTATGACCAAATATGGATGAGTAAAAATTAATTTATAACCACTTTAGAATATTAAGGGCTTGAACATTACCAATACTAAGAGTTTGACACTTGACTTTGCAACTTACCTACACCACTCACGAAATCAAAATTTAACTGGCATATTCAAGACAAACAATACTTTATACACATGAATTTGTTATGATAGATAACTTGCATTTTACTAGTTCATGTAATATTTAGCTACATGTTCTTACTTGCACTTCACACATGCACAAAATTTGTATTGATCCTTGATGAAAGTTAAGTTGTTTTATGTTTTCATTGAAATTCCACAAATTAGTGAGATGCATGTGCTTCTCAATCCATCATTTCTTAGTTTATTTCGCAGCAACCAGTAACATACAATTCCAATCATTCTTTTAATAAAATTTAACAATTTCCAGTAGAAGCTAGAACCAAATTTCAATATATAGCTATCTACAGAAACCTGAACTTGTTTACCTGAACTTCTGCCAGGTTATCTGTAATATTTGTGTGTCTAAGTCGAGAATATTGCTGTTCCCTGTCCAACTTTAACTTCCTTAAACTTTCTACTTCCTCATACAAACCATAGATTTGTGCCTGAAACAATGAAATCTCTTGCATTAGTCATTTGTAAACAAAAGAATTAGCTACAGTTGTACATTTAAATATGACCATAGATCACATTTTTTTTAGGAAGTTATTCTGTTGGCATACAAACAGTTAATGCTGCAACCCTGGTGCCAACTGGTTCCTTAGATAATATAATGAGCTTGCTACAAAAAGATCAGAAAAGAACTACAATAACCTTACCAGGCTTACCTGTGTTAATTTGACTAATGTTCAAACAAATGAAAATACTGATAATTATATCACAAAAATATATGATGATTCTTCAGTATTCAAAACATGGCATTTTACAATTTACTGTTTCTGTGTGTAGTTTGTATTTCTATAGAGGAAGACTTTGCATTATTTCAGACCTGTGTCTAAATACTGGCCTTAGCATAAACTAGCTGGACAGCCAGCTGACAAAAGAATCCAAAGTCCATGCGGGGATTCATACCCAATGTGGTTAGTGACTTGAAGTCATTGACCTTATGGTCAGCATCACAGATCTGTGAATGATTCTACATATGAATAATAATAGAACCATGTCTGAATAGATCATTAAGTACAATAATGATTGTCAATGATCACTTCTAACTTTTCTATCACATTTGAACAAATTACTATCACTCTAGATCACAGTTACATATGATATATGACAGTGTAAAACTACATTTTTTTTCTTCAGATGTGTTTCGTTAACAAGCTCTTATTATAAATTCCTATTCTATCACAAACATTGTCCAAATTTACATTTATCATTTTGTAACTTGTTCTTCCCCCAATATACACCTAATTTTACACGTTTTTGGACAAAAGTGGGAGCGCCAGACCTATTTCTATGCTAAGCATTATTTCTGCACTCACCATTGCTTGCTTTTCTTGTTCATGCAAAGTCTTCCTGGCTTTTGCTTCCAGGAATGCCCACTGCAGTTTATACATATACAAGAGGTCTACTTTCTGCTGAGCTGTCTTCGGATCTAATTTCTGAAAACATCATAACCAACTAATGTCAAATTTCTTTCAAAATATTTCTATGAATATTAAGTTCCTCATGTTGAAAAAAACAATAAACAAAGTAAATCGAACTAAAATAATTAAACATATAAATAATAATCAGTTTCTCCAAACCCTTTGAATAGGGAATTTAACATGCTGATAATAAAAGAAAAACTTGCTAGAATGATCTTAACATATCAGTGTTAATGCTATTCTTGCATAATTACAAAGATATAAATTACATTTGCATTAACAGGTCAATATATAGCCAAACTAAAAACATAACATGAACCAAGTTAAGGAGAACTTCTTGAATCCAAGGCAGGTGATATATCATCACTTTAGTGCAGTAACGGGTTAACTCCTTACATAACTAAAGTGCACTAAAGTGATGATATATTGTACAGTATATTTTTCCACGATGACATACCTGTTTAGGTTTTGAGGCTAACACAGACTGGTTATACAGGGATACATTAGACAATATAGACTGTCCCATCAAATCATCTCGATATTCAGTCTTTAGTCGAGATCTTGACTTACCACTCCCGTGTTTCTCTAACTGATACACCCTTGATGTATCACCTAGAAATAAATAACTTGATAAATAAACACCTATGTAAACAGTAGGTAAACAAGAGCCCGGTTTGAGCCGGGTGATGCTCCCCGAATAGGTTTTGGACACAGGAAAGTACACCTCTTGTAGTTTCAGAGTTATGTCCCTGGAAAAAGTTCAAAGTGCAATAATTCCAAAATTAGGCCAGGCAGAGTTACTGTTCTTTGCACTGCACTGCTAATCAATGTGATCTATCAACCTACAAAAATTCTTGATGATATCTCTTATGATTTCCGAGTTATGTCCCGGACTAAAAAAAAAATTATAAACAAAGGGCAATAACTCCAGAATTAGACAAGGAAGAGTTATGATTCTTGTGCACTGCACATCTACCCATTGAGATATATCTACCTACAAAGTTTCATGTTGATATCTCTTATAGTTTTACAGCTATGTCCTGGACAAGATTTTTCTAAAAGGGGAGATAATTCAAAAATGAGGCTTTACAGAGTTATGGTTCTTTTGCACTGCACCTCTACTCAATGAGATCTATCTACCTACAATGTTTGATCTTGACATCTCTTATAGTTTTAGAGATATGTTCCGGACAAAGTTCAAAGTGTTAAAATTAACAAAGGGCAATAACTCCAAAATTAGGACGAAGGGGGTTATTGTTCTGATGCACTGCACATCTACCCATTTAGATCTATTCACCTACAAAGTTTCATGTTGATATCTCTTATAGTTTTAGAGTTATGCCCCGGACAAGATTTTTCTATAAGGGGAGATAATTCAAAAACCGGGCAAAATAGAGTTATGGTTTTTGACACTGCACTCCCCCTCAATGCCCTCTACCACTGTATGAAGTTTCAACAAATTATCTCCAAGGGTTTTCAAGTTATGCTCCGGACAACACAACGGACGGACAGACGGACGGACAGACGGACAAGGCGCCGACTATATGCTCCCCCGAAATTTTTCGGGGAGCATAAAAAAGATAGATAGAGGAATAAGAGCTGCCACAGTGGGAAGATGAGATCTTTTCTTTAATTGTCATTTTGTGTTTTGTTTAAAGACACATTTGCAATATAACAGATGATGTAGAAGAAACCTTGCTTAACTGGTGGAGGAAGACCTCAGATGCTATTCCCTACATTGCCCTAGCAAGCATCTAAGTAAAAGCACAGAAAGTCTTTGTAACCTAGCTGGATAGCTTTTTCACACAACATAATTCAAATTTGAAGGCATTTATTGTATTCTGGCAAAGATATCCTTATTTATGAAAAGGAACAGAAAATAGATAAAACCTTTAAGGCCCATTATGCCCTGGAAATATTTTTACTATAATTTTCAAAACCTTTTTTATTTTGTGTTCTTTCATATTCCCATAAAAGTTATTCATTGGCCAATTATCTAAACCATCTTTTTTATGACAAATAATTTCAAATTCAGAGTTTTAATACTTTAGGTGATAAGCATCTAACATGCTCTAAAACAAAATACTTGAACATTATTTAACTCATGCTTGCCCTTTATAAAGAAGGAAAAAAATATTTGTTTCTCAGGCATAATGTGCTTTTGAATACCTGCGAGTAAAGAAACTTCTGGATGAATAGCTGAAGCGTCTATATCCATATCATGTGACAGATGTGACCCGTCCATTGTAGGTGTAGATGTTTTACCTCCTGTAGAAGTTATGGACTGGTTTTCTGGGGTACGGGGACGTTCCGAGACAGAGTCCTTCGTGAGCTTACGGTTAATTTTACCAGCACTTTTCTTGGCAGATTGAGGATATTCTACACTCTTACTAGCTCTAGACTTGTCAAAAGATGACTGCAAATAATAGACAATACTTTATCAGTGAAAAGAAAATTATGACAAGGAAATACATTAAAGCATTAAACAGTTCTTAACAAAAAATATCATGCTCTTACAATAAAGAGATAATATTTTTTCCTCCTTTAGCGAAATCTTTGTAACCAATGGCAGAAACTACGTTATCTCCATTAAAATCACTTCAAAAATAATAACTTGTAACAAAGGTTGGTTCTTTCCTCAATTTGCTTAATTCACCAACAAAATATATCCAGGGCAGACTAAGCCCCACTCCTAAAAGGGTGGAAAAAACACAGTCTCCATTTATGTTATGTAAAACTTTAATAACTTAATTAAGATGAGAAATTTCTTGAAAATGCTTGAAATTATTTTCTTAATCGTATCATCTAATATACTTTAGGAAAGATTAAAATCACCATGAAAATATCTTGCCCCTGACAACATCTGAAAATGGTCACTCTCATCTTTTAGTAATTATTCCAATTATTAAAATGACAGCTTTGACAGCAAGTTAAATTACTGGAGATATATACAAGATATAAACCCACCTTTTCTATTCTAGATGATAAAGAAGCCTTGACCTTTGACTCTGCAGATTGCATGTATCTAGATGGTACCATACGACCTGAAATTATTATATCAGTAATAAGCTCCAATCAGCTACTTAACATATCTGTATCAAAACTGTAATCTATTATCACATATATGGGAGATGATGGGTTGAATCACCTTATTCTGATAAAACTAGTAGTCTTTTCACTTTGGATTCTGCAAATTTTTTTTACTGGGTTTTAAGTCGTGAATTAAAGGTCAGGGGGCCACTCTCCAAGGTCATATGGCCACTCTCCAAGGTCATATGGCCACTCTCCAAGGTCATATGGCCACTCTCCAAGGTCATATGGCCACTCTCCAAGGTCATATGGCCACTCTCCAGCTTGACTTGTGGAGAGTAAGACCTCAGCCGCCCCTCTATGCATAGTTTCAGGCACAAGCAGGCACCCAAAGTAGAACCCCAAAAATTCCACTAGCTAGCTAGCTATACAAAGTTCCTAGCACCATTCAAACCAACAGCAGTGTGAGATAAAGAGAATATATGATCGTATCATCTTAAATTTACATTTTATGAAGTTAAAATTGATGTTTGATGAGAATTCATTTTTTCCATGAAATTGATATTAAACAGACTTACCTTTCTTCTTTTTAGCAGTCTCAGGCCTTTTCTCTTTTCTAGTGGAAGATGGCACCCTAATCAACAAGAGAACATAATGTTATTCTTGCTTGATTACAACATTAAACATTCACAACTGCATTGAATGCGGGTTAATGTTTGTCTGTTAAAAATTTTAAGTGAAATGGGGCATAACTCTGAAAAATTGCTTTCAAACTTACAACCTTTGTCTAACAACTGCACCTTGTCATGACTGGATGATTACCAAAGCAAATGATGACATAGATGATGCATGGTTATAATGTAAGTGTGATTGATCGGCCTTTTTACTTCCTATAACTGGGGCCGATATAGGGCTGCTTCCCCAAAGAAAATTTCTTAAAATTATGCAGTTTTCCCCAAAAATTGAATTTACATCAAGTTTTACTTCCCCCATGCAATTTTTCCCCAAAATTTAGGGCTGGGCTGCTTCCCCAATCTGTGAAAAAAGCCCTGGATTGTCTTAATAAAATACCACAAATGAAAAATACCCCTTAATACATTATTATTTATATCTACAGGTCTGCCAGAACATTCGGAATAAAAGTCAAACAACCTGATTGTTGGACATAATCCATACCTTTCATCTTTTGATGTTTTGTTCTTTAATTTGTGATTAGTTACAGTGTATTCTTTCACACTATTGTTGTCATTATCACTAGTAACTCTGTCATCGTGTCTATCCAGGAAGAATTTATCTGAGTCAGCAGAATCACTGAAATCTGGCTGCGGACAATTATCAGAGAGTGATTGTAAAACTCTTCTATCCTGTTGTTGGGGAGGTGTCATTGGAATAGATTGTACAGCTGTGTAAGGATTTATATGATCGTCTGAAATCATGAAGAAAACTATCGTAACATATTAGAAATTTGTTGTGTACATTTGTATATTATTATAACAGGCACTCTGTCAGGACCCACAGACCTATTCTGCAAAGTTCAGGTCAGATATATTTTTCTTAATTGCAAGACAATCTGTCCCAAACAATGTGGGAGTCATCAAACCTTCAGTCTTACACCAAAATCAGGGTAATAAAATTGCACTTGAAGGCTTGATGGACAAAAGAATTTTGGGTCCGTGCTAAGTAAAAATACTGCCGTGCTTGTCCAACTTGAGAAGTACCTTTGGTAAAATACATACAGTATAAAAAGTTAGTGAAAAATAATCTGTAATATATCTAAAAAAGATCTGTTCAAAATTCTTTACATGAAAGAAGAAAGAAATCAGGCACAACAACAAATGGAATAAATGTTGTGCACACAGCTACTTGGTGTCTATGATATAAGTTCATATAACTATACCAAGGGGAGGGGTGGCCTAGTGGTTAATGTGTCTGCCTCTCAACCAAGGGATTATTGGTTCGAGCCCTAATCGGGTCACAACCATGATACTAATACTGGTTGGCTCCAGGAAGCGAATTCCAAAGGGATTAATATAAGTTGCAAGAACTTGTTTCGCAATCGAGATTAAATAAATATATTCTAACCAACTTAGTTTGAGAATTAATTAACAAAGACTTCCTTCAAACAAAACAAGCAGAAAATAAAATTTTGAGAAACTGGATAGCAAATACATGTACAAACCTGGTAATTTTTCTGTAATTATGACTGGTATTTTATGTTTAGATTGTCTTAAATTTTCACCAGAATCCCTCACAGCATTTTGTTGTCTGAAATATGAACATGTTTCTGTTTATGTTTCCAACTTAATATTGCAAAGGTGAATTTTTCAACCTCTAAAGTATCAACAGCCTGCTTCAACATAACTTTTATTATAAGATTTATTTGATTCATTCTAATAAGATGTTTAACATTTATAATTGTTACACTTACAGATCAATTTCAACAAATAAAAAATACACTTTTCTTAGTAAATGGAATAATTCTTATTCTGGACATAAATTCAAAACTAGAAAAACCTCTTAGCACATACATTTTTTTTCTTGTGGTTGTAGACAGTTTTCACAAATGAAAGAATCCAAAATAAATTTAAGTCTAAGTCCACATAGTTTTCTCTTCAGTTAAAGCACAATGTATAGATTATGTCACAAAATATTTATAACATTCACTTAATGTGATAACCATACCTTAATGAATGATTTATTCTAGATGGAGAATGGCACACTATTTTGACTGGAGATTTGTCCACACCAATTCTTATATCTACTTCAGAAACATCTGGGTTTACAGTTTGTCTTGATGCATCTATACACAACACTTCATCTGGTTTCTGATACCTTGACCTCAGTTCTGGAGTCTGTACACAAATATTGAACAGTTCAAACTCAGCAAGCATTCTAACCTTTTTAAATCAATCAACTTATATTTCCAAGCAAGACAGTTTGGGAGTTTTCAGATAGACATATAGGCAAAATTATAATTGTTCAATAGAATGTTTTAAACTTGGCATTTTAGACTATAATGAAAGAAATATTTGGAGCTCAAAAAACTTGGGTGTCACCGATCCCACTTTCTTCTAAATCAGTATATGAAAATTCAAGAAAACGCTTAATGAATTATAATTATTTATAATAAAATATGATTTAAGTTCTAATCAAAACACACTTCCTCTTTTCATATATCTTCTTTTCTACAACTAAATGTAGTAATACTTTGAATAAGGGTGCATGAGGTAAGCATACACAGGAACTATGTGGTTAATTCAAATTAGGTAAAAATCTCTAAATATTCACTTGCCATGTTCATTGGCAATTTTCATCAAGTGTAACATTACTTAAAACAATAATCCTAATTGGGTTAATGTAAATGTTTTAATAAACAACTACATGCATAACAAAGCTTTATTTTATTACCTCATCACCCATTTCACTATCTGTCAGATCGAGGCTCCCTGCAGGTTGTCGATTATCTGGAGTACGGGGTTCAGACACCTTTGGTACACATCTATATTAGTAAATGTTTAATATTAGTGAGCAAATACCATATCATGTAAAAACAATGGTCTACTCAGCAAATTCTTCACCAAATGCAGTGTTCGAAATTAGCAGGAGTCCTATAGCCCCTGACTACTAAATTTCTCCTCGGGCTACCAACTTTTCACAGTAACAAGCCCGACCAGGCTACTGTATTTTCAGAGGCAATATAAACAACAGTTTTGAACAAATGATTTGTGCTAGTGAAATGTCTTTTGGGCTAGTGAATATTCCAATCTGGTAGTCCAACCAGTCTAGTGGATTCAAATCCTAATTTCTTACACTGCAAATGCACAAAAAAATTATCAAAACTGATCCAAAGTACTTTTTTAAAATCAATGTGAAGTGCAGAGTGTCAACACTTATTTTAAATTTTACTCAGTTTCTAAGTACTTCAGTCTCTACCTTGGAGATTACTAAGTATGCTCTATAACAATATCTTTATTATTTGTGAAAAAAAGGATATGAAAACTTGATTATCAAAAAAAACATACTTGAAAAGTGAAATATAAGACTGAGTCATTTAGAAAATTTTCTTTTAGCTTTCAGTTCAAAATAATCATTTCATTATGATTTTTTAACAAAGATATTTTTTACTCCCTATGCCCAAGCTGGGGAATCATACAAATTTTTAATTGAATATTGTCATCATGAGGCGGTTGTAGGTCGAAATGCATTTTAGGCTGCCTCAAAACTTTTGTTGTGTGTAATAGAACCAAAAAACACCTTATCTCAAATTTAGAACTAACTGATCTAAGAAATTTTTTAAATGACAGACATGCTTTGAGACAATCAGAAATAAATTGTATTAATATTCCCCAAAATATCCATGTTTTCTGTGGATATCAAAATTCTAATTTTATTCACAATTCTTTGATGACAAGGAAGTTTTATAATAAGAACCATCAACAACTTAACACACCCTAGTCATTATTGACCAGGCAATCATTTTTTAACTTTTTATTCATATTTTCAAATGATTACCTTCTAGGTGAGAAAACGGATTCTTCAAGCCTTCCTTGAACAAGTGATGTTTGATGCAGTTGTGAATTATTTGCCGATTCATTTATTGTATGGCTTGTATTTGAACGTGAAGGTGCCAACTTTCTAACAGATGTGTTGGATAGAAGACTTGCATTCTGAGACTCTGTAATAACAAAAGTTGTTTTCTGTCAATCTATATAAGCAGTGATATGTTCTCATAATAAATTCGCATTTATAATATGGAGATTCAATGTGAACATTTTTCTTTTATGTCTAATAAAATTCATTTAATCAATGGTCATTTGTAAACACATGTACATTGTAACCAATGTTTATGAATAATGCTGATCTACATAAGCAATTTTTTGCTGCACAATTCACGATTGTAACCCATGTATATGATTATGAATAATGCTGATCTACATTTTATAAGCAATTTTTTGCTGCACAATTCATCATGCATTAGGGACATTCCTGATGTTAAGAATTACATATTTTTTTTTTTAATATATTTATGTTTCTTTCCACAGAAATAATACCCTAAAAATACATTAGTAAAATATTACCAGAAGCTGGAACACTGCCTTGTGACGGGGCTCCATTTGTTATCAATCTCCCCTGTGCAAGTGTTTTTCTGAAGAAGAAAGAAATAAAGCAATATGACTTTATATCAAGTTATTGCATTTATCTCATGTATGTATATAGTGACAGTGTATTGAATGAGAGTACATGTAGAGGTATTATTTAGAAATATTAAAGGATAGGATAGGATGATAATAAATTTATATTTTATAACATACTTCATTAATTTATGAAAAACATCATAATTTGTATATCTGTATTTCTCTGCAAATACTGGAAGTTTATAGTCTAATATTTCTTGAACAACAATTCAAATTTCTTTCAAACTTACTTTATTGATTAAACATAATAAATGATAACATTTAATAAAAAAAATATTTTGGTTGACTGTTGTGTTTGAATAATTTTCTTTTAACCAATTTTCAAGTCATATAATATTTGAATTCCATATAGAATTTATGTTGTAATTCAAACGTTTAAACAAAAATGAATTCAAGAGCTATTTGTTGCCTTAATCTAGTGTGCCCATATCTTTATTATAGACTATAGTTTTTTTAGTTAATAACAGTTTAACACAGGCCAACGTCAAATTATTTGTGAACAATTTATGTATCTAAATTTTGCAATTTTTAACTATAAATTTTATTGAATTCTTCTTTGTGTACACTATTGCTACCATTAGGTCAAACGCATTGAATTAACCAATTGATGAAAACTTACTATTTCATTTGACACTGACAGTATAATCAGGTAACTGCGGATATTTAACTTATAAAATAAAGAAAACAATGTACAGTATATTTACTACTGATCTTTGAGGCATATTATAGTATATAGACAAAATATACTTGACAACTGCCATTCAGCTTTTATTTATAAAAATGCAAAAAAAATTAATTTAAATGTTTATCGCGAAAACTGATGATATCAGTTTGATACCGATTCCCTGCACTAAATATGAAAGTTTATATAAATCATACAATGCCTCCGGACAACACAAAAGATATGTTCATATTTTTTTTTATTACAGTTATCAAACCAACCTAGGCTTTCGCTGGCCAACATTTTCTTGAACTTGGGCAGGTCTGTACAAATTTCGTTTGGTCGCCATTTTGAAGTCGCCGCCAATAGGGTAGGGAAAATTCCCAAGGTCCGGAATCCGGAATTAGATAAAAAACAAATTTTTCGATAATTTGCTTTAAATAGGGCTACTTACAATCTAATTGTTTATATTGGAGTCCTCTTATAATTATTATTTGCTGTATCAAATAGACAGTCTGACTGGATTTTAAAATGCAGTTTTTGGATTTCAGTATATATGTTTTTGAAAAAATGGATTCCAAAGTACTGAAGCATACTCCAGTAAAGGTCTTACAGTTGTTTTAAACAAAATAGTTACTTTCTATGTAATTAAATTTGAAAAACATCTTCATTAAGACACGGATTTATATCATGGAGCTTAAAAGTTGTATGTACATGTATATATCTGTGTTTATATATCCGTGATTAATATGCTTTAATTCTGTGTGATTTCAAATATATGTGTTTCGGGCTTTAAATTTGAAGACTATAATCACCCAAGATCCTTTAATACTTCGATAAATTCTAATTCACGGCCATTTAACGAATATATAAGCATGATATATTGATTTTTTTAATTTCTATACAACACACTTTGTTAAAAAAATTTAGAAGCCGGCACGTTTTTTGACACCTATCGGGTTTATAAATCAGAACAAAGGGAAGACTACTATGTTGGATTACACTGAAATCCGACGTTGTATCGACGTAATTCCAACACGTTGATACGACGTCGCAAATACAACGTTGTTTCAACGTTGTATTTAGGATTCGCTTCGTCGGGGCAATCAGCATTGAAATCAGAACTTCTTACTATGTTTAATCATATTGCGCAGTTAGACGCGAAATGTGTGGAAATTGAGAAGGTTACGGGGAAACCTCTTAAACTGAGAAAATCCAAGGACAAAAAGGGGAAATCCACACCTAATTCAAATGTTAACGCAAGTGATAGGTCGGGTGATAGCGTGGAGGATATCATTTTGAAGCATCTCAACACGGACGGGTCCATTGACGAATCATTACTTAGTGTTCTAGAGGAAAACCTGGATAGCGATATCTCACCATTTGATGTATCCGATATTAGCACGTGTCATGCTGCTAACAGCTCCAAATCTCAATTTCTGGTTAGATTTGTCTCCAGGGTTCCTATTCGGTTGCTGTTTTCATTGAAGAGTCGTGTTTCTCTCAGCGCCACGTATTCTGGGGTGTTTATTACTGAGGATCTGTCTCCCTTGCGTATGAAACTCTTAAACTACATCAAAGAGAACAAAGCGGTCTCCAAGGTGCATACTAGGGATGGAAATATCCATTGTACTTTTAACAATAATCACTATACAATTTCTTCACCAGAAGATCTATTCAAGCTTGATATGGAGGTAGACTACGCGAGGTTAGGTCTGCAGGCCTTTGAATAGGATCACGGAGAGGCACAGAACATTAACAATGACTCTGTCATCAGTGAAATTGACAATAATAGTTTAAATGTTAATCTTGTTAACAGTTCTAAAGTTTTTTCAGTTGATAGTTTAACATCGTCAGATGTAAATCATGTTATAAACCATGATCACTTTTATTGTACTAATGATCATAGTAACAGTTTAAAATTTTGCTCTATTAATGTTTGTGGGTTAATCTCAAAGCTGAAAAACCCAGATTTTGTTTCTTTTGTATCAAGATATGATGTATTGTTTTTAAGTGAAACTAAGCTTGATGCATATGATCAAATTGTTTTCAAGGATTATGACTTTCTACAAATAGCCAGAGAGAAATGTAGAAATAGGTCCGGTGGTGTTGGAATTTTTATTAAGAAAAATGTAGCAAATAATTTTACTCTGTTAGATTGTAGCACAGAAAATTTTTTATTCCTGAAATGCAATGTATCTAATATAATATTTATCAATACCTATATACCACCTGAAGGATCTAGGTATGGATCATCTACTGACTTGTTTGATAGTTTAGAAAATACCATTCTTGATTTAAGTGTTAAATATGCTAATTGTCAGTTTTGTATAGTTGGTGACCTCAATGCGAGATCGGGAGTTCTTACCGATTCCACTGTCTATGATAAATATATCTCGGATGATAATTTTGATGATATTACTGTGCAACAGATGGTGTTAAATAATTTAAGCGATCTAGGTTTTCCTATAGAACGTTTTTCCATGGATAGAAAATGCAATAATTTTGGTTATAGACTTACTCACCTATGTAAGGCGTTGAATATTTTTATCGCCAATGGAAGGTGTGGAGCTGATGCGTATATTGGTAAACATACTTGTATTAAAGGCGATGGCAGTTTAATTGATTACTTACTGTTGTCAGGGAAATTGTTTTCTTGTATCACTAGGTTTGACATATTACAATTTGATCCAATATTATCTGATGTACATTGTGCTATAGAGTTTTGTCTTAATTTGGGTATCCAACCAAATAATGATAATACTGATGATGCAGGTATTGATATTAACAGTAATAGCGATGAGTTCTACTGTAAACCTATATGGATAACCGAGGCAAATACTGATTATAGAGATAAATTTGACCCGGATGTTGTTTCTAACTTGTTAGATGTACTTAAGGATGTTTTTGGTAATCAACAGTATACAGATGACTCTGTTAATCAGTTAACTGAGAAGGTAACATCTATTTTAACAGATGCTGCTAAAGATTGTAATTTGTTTAAGAAAAGGCATGTTATTAGTAAACCTAGAAAGCCATCAAATACTTGGTTTGATAGTGAGTGCATAGATGCTCGGTCTGATTATCACAAGTGTAAAAATATTTTTCGTAAAAACCCTTCCAAAAGAAATAGAGAAATATTAGTTAATACTAGCAGAAAATATAAGAAAGAACTTAATAAAAAGTTAAGGAATTTTCAGAGGGCAATTGTTGACAAAATTAAAGGGCTGAAAAACAAAGACCCAAAGGCGTATTGGAGCATGTTAAACAAATACAGTAACAATAAAAAAGAAATTGTTAATAATATTGCCACTGAAGCGTTCCATGAACATTTTAGTAAGTTGAATGAAAATATAGCGAATGACGCACCAGATGATTTCAATGTTTCAAATGTATCTGCGAATAATATAGATTTAGACAAACCTTTTACAGTAGAGGAAATTAGAAGAACCATTCGTTTACTTAAAAACAACAAAGCTTCATCTTCATTTGATGATGTGTTAAACGAGTATTTGAAATATGCACCAGATAATATGTATGAAATTTTTTGCTATTTGTTTAACATCATTTTAGACTCGGGAATATTTCCTGAAGTATGGAGTAAGGGTATTATTTTGCCAATATATAAGAATAAAGGTGATGTTTCTGATCCAGACAATTATCGTGGTATTACAATTTTGAGCTGTTTTGGTAAACTTTTTACGAATGTTCTTAATACTAGACTCAATAATTTTTTAGAGAATAATAATATATTGTGTGAAGAGCAAGCTGGATTCAGAAAGAATTATAGTACAACAGATCACATCTTTTCCTTAAAAATGTTAATTGATCTGTATTTGTCTAAAGGTAAAAAACTGTATTGTTCATTTATTGACTACAGGAAAGCCTTTGATAGCATTAATAGAACTGCACTCTGGCAAAAATTGTTAAGTAATAATGTTGATGGTAAATGTATAAAAATAATATATGATATGTATAAAAAAGCTAAATCTTGTGTTCAGGTGAACTCCTTTAGTAAAATGTCAGATTTTTTCACAAGTCATACAGGTGTTAGGCAAGGTGAAAATCTTTCGCCTGTCCTATTTTCTTTGTTTTTGAATGATTTAAGCCAGTTTTTGTCACAACATTATAATGGTCTAGTTTCATTATCTTCAGTAGTAAATGATACTCTGAGTAACTTCGATGTTGAGGTTTATTTTAAATTGTACATACTACTTTATGCTGATGACACTGTAATTTTTGCTGAAACTGCAGATGAATTGCAAAAGGCACTTGATGCAATGAGTAGTTACTGTAATATGTGGAGTCTCCAAGTTAATCCTGCAAAAACTAAAATTGTTGTATTTTGTAAAAATGTACGTGGTATTCGTAATGCTCCTAATTTCATTTTTGAAGGTAATATGTTAGAAGTAGTCGACTCTTTTTCATATCTTGGCGTAAAGTTTTCGTATAATGGTAAATTTACTAAAACAAAAGAATACTTGTTACAACAAGCTAGAAAAGCAATGTTCTCTGTAATAGTAAAGTCTAGAAGGCTGAACCTGCCTATTAGTATGCAAATACATTTGTTTGATACAATGGTAGCACCCATTTTGTTATATGGAAGTGAAGTGTGGGGAATTGAAAATTTAGACTTGATAGATCAATTTCAGTTAAAATTCTATAAACTTATTCTTCGGTTAAAACAAAGCACTCCTAATTGTATGCTATATGGTGAACTAGGGGTGCTACCTTTGTCTATTCATGTTAAGGCTCATATTTTATGTTACTGGAATAGAATTTTAAATGCTAAACCTGAGAAAATATGTCATATATTGTATAATGTTTCTTATAAGTTGTATAGTGATGATAACAATGTAAAACTACCTTGGATCAATTATGTACACAATTTATTGGACTCTCTGGGCATGTCAAATTACTGGATGTATAATATACCTTCTTCATAGCAATTGTTCAAGAACATTGTTAAAACTAGATTGAGAGATCAATATTTACAACAATGGCATAGTTTTGTGGCTGAGTCCAGTAAAAGCCTTAATTACAGAATGTACAAAGATTCCTTTGTTTTTGAAAATTATCTAGATACTTTGCCTTACCATTTGTCTAATGCTATTTTAAAGTTCAGATGTACGAACCATAGATTACCTATAGAAAAGGGGAGATTCTTTGGTATCCCGAGAGATGAAAGAACATGTCATTTATGTAATACAAACTCTTTAGGGGATGAATTTCATTACCTGTTTGTGTGTGACTTTTTTAAGCAGGAGCGTCGTAAATATATTTCAGTAAGATATACTAGTAATCCTAATACTTTGAAATATTCATTGCTAATGAATAATACAGACAAAAACGAGCTTGTTAAACTTGCTGTTTAT